TCGAGAGGCTATCATATTTTTAGGAGCAAAATCAAAATAGCGATTTTGGCATTGCCAAAGCAAATTGGCAGACGTCAACGCATTTGGCAAATTTTCTATCAAAGGGACAGCGCCCGAAGCTCTACAACATAGTGTAAGTGCTAGTGTGATTTGTGAATCTTAGCTCTATGTTAGCTTGTGCGCGCCGGATATAAATCGTAAATAAAATGGGAGCGTTTTTGCTTGATTTAAACATGATAGTTATATTTAGAATCGATAAATCGACGCAATGTACATAAAATATTACTTTTTAGTTAATGACAAGAAAGCAGCCTAAAACACGATGATAACTCACTGATGACGTGTGGTGGAATAACTGTTGATCAAATTTTTCATCCTCGTGACATGAAAGAAACTATCAAACCAAATTTCGTCCTCTTCCCGAAAATCTACTCTTCGAAAAAATATTGAGCCCTGCCACTTTCCCAATAGGTTTAGCTTCTCACATTCTAGTCAATTTCTTTCTTACTTTCTTTATGAAAAGTGCTCTTAGATCGGTTTTTTTCAAAATTCTGGAAATTGATTAATGTCCTAATTTTTAAAGTTGCTAGTTCTACGAAAAATCAAGTTTAGCGTTAGTACAAGCAAATGTTCTACAATGTTAAGTGGAGCTTTTTTATAATATGAACTTGCCAGAGGCACCTGAGATTCGAGTTGAATTGCCTTCTCCTTGAAGCTGTCATAATCTATTGAAGGTGTGATCTGTTTTTGTTTATATTTCCCCGAAGTTTAGTTAGTCGTCATGGTGTTTAAGAGTATAGCTGTATTTTCTTTCCAAACAATTAAAAGAAAAAGGATCCAAATCTGGAATTTAGAGTTTAAATAAGTTATCGCAAAGTTGTTCCTTTTTTACGAATATTTTTCAAACCCGTTTATATGTGTTTTCTCAAACTCAACCTTTAAGGCGGCATGCAACCATTAGAAGTGAGAAAGCCTTCAGAACTGTTGAAGACCTTGTCTATTTGCAAGATATCAGTTTCAGAAAATCAGTCTCTTTACAAGAAAAAGCTTATGATGAGAAATTCCTTATCGAGCTTAGAGATCGCGTCTTCTATACGGCTACAGTTGAAGATTTGACTTGCTTACTTCTGATTTTTCACAATTGAAAGAAAACATCTGTGTTTGAGGATTTGCATGCTGTTACAATTGACTTGCGTGATTCGCAAAAAGCCGCAAGCCATCTCAATCAAATTTTGTTCCTCTCTCTACCACTGAAGATTAAAAATAAAATACAAGCGGCTGAATGAGACTGGTATCCAAGATGTGAATTTTGAAGTGTTATACATACATTGAATTTTACTGCATCTCTCAATCAGTGAGCAAAATGAGTATGTAGCCCCCTTAACTCCAATTCTGTTTTTTGATGAAAGGCCGCGGTAAACTTAGTTTTTACCTTTTTAGTAGCATTTTAGTGACCCACTCATAGGAAGGTGATATAATTGCTAACACTTGATTAACTTATTTCCAAATTTGTCTATTGTGCAACCTGTTCTTTTCCACAAGAACATTCGAAAAGTATATAACTCGAGCTCTTTAACCACTTGCATGATTTGTCGGTGAGATGCTCAAAAGTCTTTCTTTCCAGCTAAGCAGATCTTTGCAATAGTTTTATATGTTATCCCAAATGTCTTGTTTTTTTTTTCTTCGGTTTATGCTCTTTGTAATTACTAATTCAATGTTGAATGTTCTATTGTATATACACATTGAATCCATTATGAATTATATCATATATCACGTGTTCAGTACCTAGTGAGAGACAGCTAACATTCACCGCGAATACGTCATGCGGTGT